GGTCACACAGCGAGTGCATGGCTGAGCTGGGACTGGCCCCAGGGTCTGTTGGGAAAGAGCACCTTTTCCAGGACATTCATCTCCCTGTCAGATTCCCTTCCATTCAAGGGAAACTGGGAATTCCCCCTTCCGTTCCCCTCCTTGCTCCGCTCAGTTCCTTGGCACGGTTGAAACTTGCTTTAGGAGGGTTTTCCAAGGAAAGGCTTTCCTGAGTTTGCAGTCCCAAGAGAAACAAGGACTGGCGCTCTGAGGTGTATGCTCCAGACCCCAAGGATTTGGGTGCCACTCATTCCTGAGGCCCCGAGGTGGTCCCCCATAGGGAAGCAGGGTTTGCCCTTTGTGTGGCAGTCTTCACCTGCCCTGTGGTGCCAGGTGTGCTTAGGGGCACAGCTCTTTCCCACCGGCTGTAATGTGCCCCCTGAACCTTGGAGAGGTCCAGCTATAGGCCCAGAGGAAGGGCTAAGTGGAAAGGACATAGTACTGAGGAACTCGGCTTCTCCCAACAACCGCCTGTGTGGCTCTGGGCAAGTGAGTCACTTCTCTGGGGCTCCCTTTGTCCCTCAAGAAATGAGGGGGCCGGGCAACTCTGCAGGGGCCAGACTGCCTTTCCCCTCAACATCGCAGGGTTCAAAGTCACCAAGTAGTAGCTGCCGAGGAGCCCCATGGCTGCCCCTCTGCCGGGCCAAGCGCCCGCCACCACAGGAAGGGTTTTGGAGCCACTCACTTAATCACAAAAAGAAACTGTTATTAATGATAGCGAGACGCGGCGAATAAGTGGGTCATGTCTAATAAGCCATTTGTGTTCAGGAGGAGAATACCAATTTGATAAAAGCTGTGTGTGCTGAAAAAGCCCAGAAATTGCTGTTTAGCAGATTGGAGCCTGATCGTTTCATTATTCCTAGGCTCTGCGTGTCCTCAGCTGATTCAGGAAATGTGGCTGGGTTAGGAAGGTGTCTCTATGTCTGGGGGTGGGGGTGGGGGCCGGAATCAGGGGCTCCTGGGGAGAGGCCCACTGACTAACTGCCTGCCGGCTGCTCCAGCTCCACTGGAGCCCAGCCCGGCCGCCAGGCTAATGCTTTCCGCCTGCCCGCCCCGGGGCTTGTCACCCGGAGAGCCTGTGGTCAGATGGGCCCCGCAAGGACATCTGTCTCGATTCCCATCTCCTTGCTACCTCCTGTCAGCCCACTTCACAGAGGGCTTTTTAAAGGCACACAGAATGAATGAGAGAGTGAATGGTGTAAGCCCTTTAGGGAAGCATCAGGGGTGACGGTCAGTGTCTGTGCCTAGTAGGTACACAGTAAATAGCAGCTATTTTGATTTTTCTTTTTCAGAAAAGGTTAGCTCATTGCCATGATCACCGTAAGGGTGAGAGGAAAGGGAGCTAACATTTAGGAAACGCCTACTGTGTGCTATGTGCTGCCAAACCCCGCCAGTGTTAACTTACTAAAGCTGACATTATTCATGGAAGGCTGGTGTTGGGCATGAGAGGATACTGAGAAGTTCAGAGAGGGCCAATGACTTGCCCAAGGTCACTGATTCTATACAGAGAGGTGGAGAGCTGTGCCTAGAATGAAGGTGTGTCTGGCATTTCTGGGCCTGCCTCTGGGACCANCGCGGGTCCTGTGGAGGCTGTCAGTTGTGTTGAAACACACAGTATTTGTATTACAAATGCGTGACACTTCAGGGTCCTGATCAATTTTGAATAAACTGGATTGTAGCTGGTGTATACAGGCCCCATCCGGTGGTCTGCCCACCATAATATTGGAACGGGGAGTGCCAGGACACAGTAAAGACAGAGGGGTCGGGGGCTGTCCATTCTCAAACTTGAGGCTCTGTCCACAATGCTGTCCATAGGATCCATCTGTGATCTGGTTTGGGGGAGTGGGCCATCTGAGGTGCTGACTACCATTCGGCCGGGGCGGGTGAGGAAAGGAAAAGCTCTGTCCACGGTGCTGGATCCTCGCATACACGAGCCTGCCGAGGCGCGGTAGGCGAGGCTGGTTGTCGGGGCTGACGCTGTCCTCCTCCGTGGCGCTAAAAACGGGGCTGTGTTGGAAACGAAGCCTGGAAAAGGACAAGGGATGAGAGAAGGAGGGACCCTGCCCGGGCATCAGGGACCTCGCCCCAGACTCGCTCTGGGACCTCGGAGCAGCTATTTCTCTAATTGAATGTGCTTCCTCATCTTTTAAATGGGGCCATAGGTCCGCCCTTGTGTCTGTACTGAGGGTTTGTCCAAATAGCCCCAGTAAAATGGTAAGGGAAGGAATTAGAGGATCTAGTTGGATTCCTGCTTTGGGGAATGGAAGTAGCTTCCTTACCTGCCCCTCCCCAACATTCCATTTAGGCCCCTTGGTCCGAGGAGGAGAGCCCTTCAGTCCAGAAGGGGGCGATCCAATCCACTGCGCTGGGCCCAGCATCTCTAAGGAGCCGCAGCAACTTGCCTGCCTCACTCCCACTATACAGATATGAAAACTGAGTCCCAGAGAGGGACATAACAACAGTAATAACTTCTGAGCTCCTACCATGAGGGCGGCATTATGCTAAGCGCTTTACACATATGGTTTTGTAAATCCTCACCACAACCCCTGGAAGTAGCTGTTATTCCCACTCCTCAGATGAAGACCATGAGGTTCAGACTGGCGTAGAGACACCCAGACACGATCACACAGGGAGCAAAGGCTGCGGCAGGGCTATAACCACGTCTCCCCTGCCCCAGCCCTGGTTCCTATCCTACCTCACCGTCACCTTCATCCTCACCTGTCCCCTGCCCCTGTCACCTCCCAGCTAGCAAAGTTGAGGAGTCCCTGTCAGCGCGCTGGGTCTGGCGGTAGATGTATTGGTTTCCTTCCTTATCCCGCTAGATAGTATTTCTGTTTCTGAAGCCAGTTTGTGTTATGCTTTGCCGGGACCGGGTCCCTGGGGTGGCTTCCTCCACCCCATCCCGCCCCCCCCTACCTGCGCTGTCGGGCGGGGGAAGTTGCGGGTACCGCTTTAAAAATCCCAGCCTGGGCAAAACTTTGATGATAAATCAAGCGGCAGATCCTTCCGCCACCGCCTCCTCCGGGCGGGAGGGAGGGAGTGGGAGGGAGGGGGTGCGGCGGCAGCGCCGAGTGAAGTGGCCTTCCGCGGAAGGGAAGAGTCCCGCAGTCGGAGGCGGCCGGCTGGGCGTGAGCTCGCTACCCGCAGCCGGGGCTGGGCCGGAGCCCGGCGAGGGCTGGGGCTGGGTCGGGCCAGGTTCAGCGGGCAAGGGGCAGCGGTCGCAGCCGGGCAGCCAGGCCGCACCGGGCAGGGGACGGCGGGCTCGGGGGCTGCGATCTCCTGAGCCCTGATGTGAGGCGGCGGCGCCCCCGGCCCGAGCGCGCACCATGGGGGCCCCGCTCGCAGTGGCGCTGGGCGCCCTCCACTACCTGGCACTTTTCCTGCAACTCGGCGGCGCCACGCGGCCCGCCGGCCACGCGCCCTGGGACAACCACGTCTCCGGCCACGGTGAGTTCGGTCGCCACCCCCGCGGACTTCCCCACCCAACCCCACCCGGGGCTGCGCCGCTCCAACTTGGCAGCCCCCGGGCTCGAACCGGCGCTGAGCGTGGTGGGGGGTCCCGGGGCGCCCCCTGCCGGGTCCATAGACCCTCCCTGGCAGCCTGGCCACCCCTGCGGAGGAGGGGACACCCCGTGCGCACCCCGGATCCCGCTATCGCCGACAGTCCCCTCTTCTCCCCACACCCACTCTCACAGATACACACACCTCCACCGCCACACAGACATTCACAGCCACCGGCACCCTCAGAGCCACACTCACTGCTTTCTCACACTCACAACTCCTACCCTCACACATCTCCAGACACCTCAGACCCCCCTCCTCACTCATAAGCACTCACACTTATGCCCACTACACACACACACATCAGACACTACGGCTGGTGGGCTCACACCCTGCCAGCTGGCATCCAGGCTCACACACTCTGCACAACTCTTGCCTGCCTGCCTGCCTGCAGACATCCTGGCAAATGCACACACACACACACACACACACACACACACACACACACCCCACACTTGTGAACACACTTTACTCGCCCACCCCTCCCTGCCCATTTGAATTTCTCCTTTGTGGGTCTAACCCCACAGCTGCCGTTGTCCCCTCCCTCTCCACACCTGCCCCTGATGCCACTGGGAAACCTGGGAGACAGAAGACCCTGCCTTTTGAGACCCGGTGGCCTGGGGCTGCAGCCGCCCCTGTCCAGGGGGTGCATCTCAGGAAAGGAGGCTTGGTGGGGGCTCCTTGAAGACACTGGAGTAGTTGGGATCGCTGCTTCCAGCTAGAGGCATGGAAGAGGGAGAAGGATGTGCCAGATGCTTTTGTCTGTCTCTGTGGTGGGCAGGAAGCCCTGGCCATCCCTCCATAGGGTACCACCGCTCATCCTCATCCTTGGCCTTGGAGGACTGAAGTGTGGGGAAATCTCAACTCCAGCCTCTATGGGAACCGGGAGTAAGTGTTTCCAGCACTGGTTGCCTAAGTGTCAGAGCTCCTTCTAGCCCCGGAGGAGTCCAAGTTGGCAGCAGAGTTGGATCATCTGAGTTTGGCAGCTGTGGGAGCCCCTCTGCCCCCTGTAAGCCGGACTCCCTTGTGGGGACCAGGGCATAGATGAAAATAGAGACTCTTCGTTCACCTGTTCCCTGCAGGGTCTTCCAATTTGGTGAGGGAGGCTGCAACACCAATGCTGGGCACTGTATGCCCAGGGCTGGGGGGAGGTTTGCACAAAGGGTAAAGAAACGGGTGATTTCTCCTTATGGGGAAGAGTAAGCACTGAGGGTGGAGGTGGGGGGATACATAATCCAAGAAGGCTTTGCTTGGGTGTGACACATGAGTGGCATTGCTCCAGGGGTCCGGGGGCTTCCAAACCCCTTCTGAGTCAGGGTCCCTGCTTTGTGAGAACTGTGACTCCCTGCACTCAGTTCTGCCTTAACACATTTGATAGTAATCGCTCTGTGTATCATTTATGCACTCTTCATATCCCTCATCTAATTTCTATCGACCTGGTTGGAGCGGTGGTAAATAGGGGGAAGGGTTATTC